TAATTCCAGCTTGACTGTATTTTTCGCCTATAGATCAGTGGCTGGGCTAGTAGTCAGCACTGGTTGACACCACAGAGATTCCCAAAGGTTGCATGATATATTTGGATCATTCTCCATTTGGAGTGGGGAACAAAGGTGGGCTTAAAAAGATGCTTAAAATATTAGACACAGCTCCAAAAGTCAGTATGTACCTTTACACAGTTGAGCTAAGATTAGTGTGTTTCCCTTACGATTTCTCTGATTTTTCTTTTTTTATCCTTTCACAGTCGCTCTGCATCTGTAAAACAGCTCGTCACAACTATACAATTATATACTACATTTAAAAAAAATATGTATTTTATTTGAAAAATTCATTTGTCACAGTGATTTTGGTCACTGGTGTTATCAGGACTCTTATTTTACATTTTAACACAGTATTTTCAGCTCTATTAAACTGCTTCTTTGGGTCGAGGCTCATCAAAGAGGAAGCATTTCGAGGCATGAGAAATCGAGTCACACTCACTCACTATATTTCATTAATTTATTAATAATTTTGTTTATCAGGCAGCTCATAACCTCTACATGTCAGCGGTGTTATGTGCTTTAATAGCTGGGTAATTAAGATTTTGTTTAAATTTTGCCGTTTATCATTTTTTATTACTGATTTTAAATAGTTGCAGAAGGTCACCTGACCACCAATGAGTCCACCAGTTTACAAAAAACCGCCAGTTTTAACCAGAATGTCACTGGAGTCACCGTCACTGGTGTTACACCATATTCATACAACACCAGTGACTGTAAAATATGTTTGGAATTAAGCTGTCCTTTCTGCATATATGAAATTAGGAGATGTTAATGGACATCCATCCATCATCTAAACCACTTATCCTTCTGGGTCGCGGTGGGGTGCTGGAGCCTATCCCAGCTGTCATTGGGAGGAAGGCAGGATACACCCTAGACAGGTCGCCAGTCCATCGCAGGGCATGTTAATGGACATATTTAAGATTATTTAGTTTTGGGATGAAAGAAGTTGATGTTTTAAAAATGCATCCACCTGAGTTCCCACTCCAAATGGAGAATGACCCATTTGTGTAATGCAAACTGGGTGTTGTAGTAAGAGTTCATTGACGAAGGACAACATGAAAACAATATAAAATTCTATCAAACCAATGAGGCTGAGGTAGCTGAGCTACAGAACACAACATAACACAACAGACAGCTTATTAAAATCTAGTTTTATGATAGAATGACCCTGTAATTTTCCAATCCCAGGCCGGACAACTGCACCATGAGTTTTGTTAGCAGAGCAAACACTGAACCGTTCTTTTATTTTATTTATCGCTGTGTCCAGCAGGGCCCTTCACCACTCTGACCTCACATCACCCCTCAGTGTGAAGAGAACAGACCTGGCTTCTCTCGTTCTATTGTTTCGCTCTGCCTCAAGGATACGCTGGTGAAATATTGATGATGTGTACTGAAGGTGCTGGGTGGGTTTCTCGGGGGAGGGAGGAGGAGAATGTTTTTTCTCCTTTCAGATGAGTTGACAGGAAGCTCTAACAGATCGGACTCATGCTGACACGCTGCTCTGCTGTGTGTCCAATGTCTGCGGTACCTGTGGAGTTTTGGTCAGGAGCATAGTGACCATCACAAAGGGCAGATTTACTAAAGCTTTATCCAAACTATGGTGAGAAGCCCACTGCAGCAACTTCAACAACAAAACCAAGAGCTGGACTGGAATTGATTATTACAGCTACAGACCTTAGCCCCCCCCCTACCCTGTTAATCGATGGGACCACCGTAGCACAGCAGTGTTAAACTTTTAAAACAGACTGTAAACTCACTGGCCACTTTATCAGAAACCCCACCCTTAAAGTTCAACTTTCCTGAAAAGGTATATCAAATAAGCTGCTCTGCCCGCCTTACTTAACACTAATGCATCTGATCCAGCCAATCAGGGACTTGGAATGAGTTTAATAAGCCTGAGCAGGTGTGGCAGATGTGCTTGGAGCTAAACTCTGCAGGAAGGTAGGTCTCCAGGATTGGGGTTGATGACCACTCCTCTGGTGTAAGGGTTGCACAGACTAGTCAAAGATGCTTTAAGCTTACTGTTGACCAGTCACTGATCACGTGATAATGACAATAACAAAGTGGACGCCTCAGAGAAGACAACAGGTGAGGACACCGTTGATTTTGGGGTTCGTATCTCTGGTTTTCGGAAGGCTATCAATGTGATCCAGGTCTCGTTGGAAAGGGCACGTCATGCTCCATGGTCTTGTGGAGTCTTGCTTCATTCGAATGTTTCTCCGCCAATCGATAGTGATGCAAATATCAGGTGCTGAGCGTCGTCATCTCCAGGATCCTAAAGACTACAATAAAAAGTCATGTTTCGTTGGAGAGACGGCTGAACGCCCTATAATCCTGTAAAGTGTGAAGTCAGTTACTCTTACTTTCACTGAGTTACGGTGCTCTAGATTTCTCTGGTTCTCCCAACCTCCGCCACGGGTGAGCGTCGCGGCAAGGCTGCCTAGGGTGCGCCTAAGTCGGATACAGCCAGAAACACTTAAAGAACCCTTTGCATGAGTAATGAATTCTTTGCATGGTGAAATGGCTCTTCAGATCGATGGAAAACGTGCTGTAGATGGTTCTACATAGAACCTTTTTGAAAAGGGTTCTATATAGCACAATAAGGGTTCTTCCATCGTAACAATGGTTCTTTGCATGATGAAATGGTTCTTCAGATTGATGGAAAATGTGCTGTAGATGGTTCTATATAGAACCTTTTTGAAAAGGGTTCTATATAGCACAATAAGGGTTCTTCCATCGTAACAATGGTTCTTTGCATGGTGAAATGGCTCTTCAGATTGATGGAAAATGTGCTGTAGATGGTTCTATATAGAACCTTTTTGAAAAGGGTTCTATATAGCACACAATGGTTCTTCTGATTGATGGAAAATGGGTTGCATATGGTTCTACACCAAAAGCTTGACACTGACATTCAAAATGGTTCTATATTGAACTCATTCTAAACAGAACCACTGCCTTTACTGAAGAACCCTCTCTAAGTGTGCACTATAAAGACGCTCTCACTGTAGATCAGGGGGGCCCAGTCCTGGTTCTGGAGGTCTGCCACCCTGGGGAGATCACCTCCAACGTTAATCTAACTCACCTGGTCCAGATCATGGAGGCTTTCAGGAGGTTCTGAATAGAACAGCCAGGGGTGGATCTGAACTCTCCATGGTGGTAATTTTCCAGAACCAGGATTGAGCTCCTCTGCTGCAGGATCTGCTCGTGAGAAACACTGAGGAAGGGAGAAGTTGTGGAGTTGAGGAAGGTTTATGTGGAAGTTGTGGGGCTGAGGCTCCAAAGACGTCAACACAAAAAACGACAGGAAGGAAATAAACATCAGAAAGTTTCTCCTCACAGCGCAGAGTGGAAGCACTGCTAACACACAAACATCCCTCTCTCTCTCTCTCTTTCTCTCTTCCACTAACCCCTCCCCTTTTCTTCCATCTCTCACCAGCTTTCTCTTTCCTCTTAACTTTCTCTATTTCTCTGCTCTTCCATCTTGTTTTGTGTTTCCTATTTGTCTTTTTGGCTTTTTTTACTTTCCTCTCTCTCTCTCTCTCTCTCTCTCTCTCTCTCTCTCTCTCTCTCTCTCTCTCGACTGCAGTGATCAGTTAGATGTTGTTGTTTTCTGCGGACCTGTGTTTGGATGCTGCACTATTTGAGAGCCCCCCTCCACACAGACACAAACACACACAGAAAGACAGCACACACTTCTGCTGTCATAGGTTGTCTTGTACACACACACACACACACACACACACACACACCTGCCAATGTCTGCTGCACCTCACACACTCTCCATGCAATGAATCACACACACCGATATCTACGCAAACAAATGAAACCCGTTTCACGCCGAGCAGTGAAGAAAAGGGAGGTGATTTTCTGTTTCTGGCTGCAGTGTCAAAATATTGACTTATTTCCTTAAAATACTGACTATCAAAATAATTACTTAGTAAGTAATTATCATGAGATACTATGTCAAAATAATGATGCAATGTAAAATACTTTCTTGAATAATACATACTATTTTAGACAGTAAGTGCATATTTTGGGGAAAATTACTAAATATTTTGAGAAAATAAGTTATTATTTTGAAATTCTACATCAGCGTTTAGGATATTTAGTCAATATTTTGACATACTGCAGCCTAAACCGAGGAGAAAAATGGGCTTCCACACATGCAGATATTCACACACACACACACACACACACACACACACACACACACACACAAATAGTACACACACACACAGATATCTGGCTGTACATTCACACAGAAAAATGCAGCATTTCACTGATACTGAAAGGAAAAAAGTGGTCTGCTGTATTTTGGAACTGTACCACACCCCAAAGTCAGTGTACAGCAGATATATGAACTATTAAAGCTCTAATGTTTTCTATTAATGACACAGAAATTACAGAGCCATATTTAGAAAGTGCTACTGATACTGTAAATGCAGCTTTATGTATATGGAAGAGTCACATAACTGCAGCTCATCCTGCACTACAGTGACTCCCCTGCAGCTGTGAGGGAGGAACTGTACTGACATCTTGTGGCACAATCCTGCCAGTACAGCCTCAGACAAACCCGAGACATGACAGATGATATTTTACCACCACAGAGGAGACAAACTACAGGTAATTTCGTGCGAAAGTTTCAAACAAACAATAATAATAATATCTGCAAAACAAGAATTAGATGACAAGGGCCATATATGTTTTGAATTTTTTAAAAGTAATTCTCATTTGTCTTATTATTTGTATAGGCAACATTTGTTTAATATTTTATAATTTTATCTAAATATACTGGCAGAAAATGAACAACAGAAACAGAATAACGCCACTCATAAATGGAAGAGAACAGAAAATATCATCAGATGGTAAAAATGTCAAAATCAGCAGCCAACAAGAACTCAAAACTGACTTCTTTACATTGTGTTTTTATTCAGATATCTGTGCTACAGCATGAACGACATTTACAAACACTTTTTTTTTTTTTTACTAAATCTCAGTATCTCAACTAGTATCAAGGCCAAAACAGGTGTCAGAAGGTCTCCAAATAACAGTGCCCATCAAAAAACTCATAACAAATTTGAATTCTAAGAGTTAAAATAAATTACTGTGACATAATCCTAAACAACATTCTGACTTTGTTCTAAATAATGGGAATCCCACTGGATTAAAAATAAAACTGCACAGGACATGGAAAGCACAGACATATGAAGTCATTCATTAATGCACATTTCAAATGAAACTATAACTGGAGTCTAAAAAAAAGAACAAACTATTACACACTATTTCCAAATATAAAAATTACTTACAAACATATGTGCCAAAATATACATCAGCTACAGCTCAAGTAGTCCAAGCGTTCCTTTTTCACCAAAAACACATGCTAATTTTGACTGAAAGCTAATGGAAGTCAGTTAGCACTACACTAACTCTCACTAACCTTTTCATTCTATTATTCTCTTTAGCCGCTTCATCCAGCTAGGGTCACGGTAGCTTTAGGGAAAGCAGAAAATCCCAGACAGCCGTACTGGAGTCACTGTCCTGGACTGTAGTGGTGAAGAGGGAGCTGAGCCATAAGGCAAAACTCTGCCTACTGGTTGGTCCACATCCCAACTCTCACCTATGGTCATGAGCTTTGGGTAATGACCGAAATGAGATCGTGGACACAAGCGGCAGAAATGAGCTTTCTTCACAGGGAGGCGGTCTACGGTCTACTTGATAGGACTAGGACCATGGACTCAGATTTGAAGGTGCGAATCTGCATACCAACTGTTCACCCAGTGAGCGCTGGAGGCGTCCATAAGATGGAGCCAAAAGGACAAAATCATCTGCGAAAAGCAGAGACGCCACCTTCCGGCCTCCACACATAATGTCCTCCTGACCTCGGCTACCCCTTGACACCTTGTCCACGAACATCATGGACAGGAGTGGAGACAAGGCACGACTTCTCACTAGTAACAACCAAGAGCCAATGGGAGTCAGTTGGCACTGAGTGAATGAGATCATGCTTCCTAGCCCTCACTAGCTTTCATTCACTGTTAGCCACACTAGTGTTTTCAGGTGAAACATTCCTTTAAGTTGTATTTCCAGCTTCAGACACTCATCAGTGTAACGTTATAAGTGTGACCACTGTCTCCTACTGTACGGATATAAAAGTCAGTGATGTGCGTGTTTATCAAATCATAAGAGTAGGTCAGTTCTCTGCTTTTGAACAACTAATAGCACTAGTTCTCCTTTTCACCTGCTAATAGTGCTAGTTCTCCTTTTCACCAGCTAATAGCCCTAGTTTTTATTTTCATCTGCTAACAGCTCTAGTTCCTGTTTTCACCTCCGAACAGCGCTGGTTCTTATTTTAACCTGCTGATAGCTCTATTTTTATTTTCACCAGCTAATAGTTCTAGTTCTCATTCTAATTGGCTGTTAACACTAGTTCTTATTTCCATCAGTTAATAGCACTGTTTCTTATCTCCACCAGCACACTGTACTAGTTCTTTTTTCATCAGCTAATAGCGCCAACTCTTATTTTTATCTGTCAACAGCTCTAGTTCTCCATTTCACCAGCTCTTTCTTGTACACACTGCAGTAAGTGATGGTTTTGCTTCTACCAATGCCAGTGTTTCCTAAAGCCTCACATTCTTCAATTCCAGTCTCAAACTAGACCAGCACTGCACTGTTTACCTTTAGCATCTACATTAATTTAACACACATCATTCAATTGAGAACAGCCTCAGTAATGGGCTGACGAGTTGAATCAGATGTGTTCAAAGCCGTTACATGTTCACTAGCATACAGTTCCCATAGGAAAGATAACTGTGTGCTAGCTAAGACAATGATCACTACGCTGTAGGGTTGGATTATACAAATTGTTCAAAATCTCTAATACATTATTTCTTTTTAACAATCACAGTTATGTTTATGGGAGAATCTTTCAATAAAAACAGCCAATTGACTTGTTCACTAAGCCACGAGCAGGAAAAGCCCTTCCTCACTGTGGAGGTATGTGCATGCGAAGGAGCCAGAATAACCTGAAAAATGGTAAACAAGTCGCAAACTAAGATGCGATTTCTGACAGATTTTCCCAGTGATTTCAAATATGTTTCTGACACTTTAACGTGACTTTCAGTTTCAGTTTCAGTTTCCCCCCATTCAAGGAGAAAGGAAACTTTCCTATTAAGACTTTGGTGAACTGATCAAAGATCCTCACTGACACAGTTACGGTTTCACTTGGAAATACGTTACAGTAAGGAGAGAAAAGGTTATGATTTGTGATTCACTGTGATTTTAAATATCTTTAAAAGAATCTTTCTCCATTGTGCAAAAACTACCCTTTCTTTGCACTGAACCTCATCACTGTATTTCTGTACTTCTTCCATCTGAAGATGCCAGGTTTGTTTTTGGTGCTCCAGTAATGTTCGCTGGACGGCTTTTTTGCACTGTTAAACACTCAGTATTTAAGCGGCAAAGTTCATGATCGCCATCTCAATGCAAACATGATATCAGTGGTCAAAGACATTGACACTGACCAAGCGTAATGCTCTGAGAAGCCTTCTGAGAGCTCTAACTTCACCAGAGTATGTGAGCAGAGCTACGTTATTTTGCTTGGAGTGGCTGTTCAGAAAGTCGAAGCGTCAGTTTTCTCTCTCTCGCCTCTCTCTTTTCTTTCTCTCGCCACACCGTCCTTTTTTCCACACTGACCATGTCTGCGTGGCACGAGTGATGCGGCAGGGACTCTGTGTGTTTGTTTACCCTCAGCAGTTTTTTCGCTTCAAGCCTATACCTTCTGAAAAAAGCCTATGTAACACAGCATGTTGAGCTAGTTTTTTGTTTATTAACAGCCATAAATTATATAAGTAAAGTGTGTAGTGTCCTGTCCACACATTCAAGACAGAAAATAAATATCATAAGAATGAATCATATGAAGCAGAGACGGACCAGAGTTTCTCTGATATGGGAGTCAAGAGCATGAAATAGAAAACCCGGAGTGGAGCTGGAGTGGAGTGATTACAGAACGGTTTGAGCAAGGAGCTCCACTCCACTCACATACTCTGATCCTCACTTATGAGTTGTTCTCCATGACCAGGAGCGAATGAGGGAATGAATTTCAAGTCTTTCCCTTATATTCTTTCGTCTATGGTACAAAAAGCTGTCCTTTTTTAAAACGATATTCAGTAGCTTGTAAATTCCAGCTACACTGCTACTTAATAAATAAATGATCACTGGAGTTTTCTTGGTCACTCTCTTCACTGTGAGTGACAGTGCTCCGGGCCAATCAGGCGGAGGCTGATTCCGCCTCCTCTGCGTCTGAAGACTCGAACTCGTCTGCGGAGTCGGTGAGGGCAGGGTAAGGCCGCGGTTGATCCAGGTTAACGTATGTGACCTTCAGGCTGATGTAGTGTTCTCCCTCCAGGCTGGACAGAATGGCCATTACCGCAGAAACCAGCGTAGTGAAGCTCGGACGGCTCTCCGGATCTGGGTCCCAACACTGCAGCATTATAGTAAACCTGCACACAGCACAGTGATTACGGTTGTAATAATAGTAGTGTTTTGACCACACTAGCAATGCTTGGTATTGTGATACTACACTCGAAACTATACTACGGCAAAATATTCAAGACATTAATTACTGTTTGAGCACTCAGCGATTACTGGACTGAACACAGAATTCAAATTACAGCTTAATTAACATCTCTGACTAAAATTCAATATATTTTATTAATATACGGCTGCCGAAACCACGGTGGCAAGCAGGCATTTGACCCACCACTTTTCAAAGTACTGGGGCGACGCCCCACAACTTTTTGAGTTCAGGACGTACACGCTTCCACTAAACTGCATGAAGCGCTGACCAGCACAAACAGACAGGGCAAATCTCAGCGGCAGAGCCAATCAGAATCTCCATTTCAGCTGGGAGGAGCTTTCAGACCCGCTTTGGATGGTGCGGACCGGTCAAACCTTTTTTTAGTTCACTTTTGACATGCGAACACTCCACCCACATTCAGGTCTGCACAACAAAGTGAACACCAGAGCACATCTGCTGCTTTAACATGTTACTCTATATAAATGCTCATATCGTTCCTCTCTATTTTCTGTTTCTCTGTTTTCATGGTGGTGAATGTGAGAGTAACAGAGCACTTGCACGCCTGCAAAACTTCTGATCAATAAACAAACACCCACGTGTGTAATTTAGTCCATTTTGGCCCTTTGCAGTCCACCATCCACGTCATTAGCATGACATGAAAGGCAATTTTAGTCAGTGGCCTAATTGCATTTCGTCACTCAGCCAGCTGCCTTTTTTTTTGGAAACAATATGTTTTGCCCCACCACTTTTGGAGGCGTGGTGCCCCACCCCTGTGTGAACTGTTTCTAAGAGCATTAATAGGCTTTACATGCTGAGTTTTAGCTGTACCTCTCACATCCATCACCAGCTCCTACAGGTCTGAATGAACTTGCATGAACTTTCCTTGCTGCCTTTTCAATAATCATGTAATAAAGACTGAGTTTCTGCACATGAACCTCTTCAAAAACCATCACTTTCTTCATTTTTTTTGTTCTTCCCTTACTCTCCTAATATCTCTTTTTTCTGATCCTGCTCCTTCTCTCTCACATTCTTTGTTGCTTTCTGTTATTCTCTGTTTCTTTCCCTCAAAGACATTTAAATAAATAATGAACTTTTAAAGTCTTCCTCTCTCTTTAGACTGAGTTCATCACTCCCTCACTCTCTCTCTCTCTCTCTCTCTCTCTCTCTCTCCTCAGTCGCTTAATCACTAACCACTCCAGCACTTTCTGAAATGTTCTTTATGTTCTACCAGCTCCTAGAACGATCTGGATGTTCCTGCGTTTTGCTCACAAAATGCCTCACATTCAGATTAAGGCCACTTCCGAAAAGTTTCACAGTCCTACTCAGGAAGATGTTTCCCATGGAGTTTAGGTCTAAAAGGGTTCTGGTCTTTCTGCACCGTCGCTGTAACTGTGTTGTAACTGCCATTGTGAAATAAATGATTATTAACTCTGTCAGTGTGCCAGTCACAGCTGTGGATGTTCAGGTGGATCTTTTACAACTCTGAACACTCACAGACTTCTAAACATTGAGTAAACATGACTTTCAACCTGGATTACATGGAAAAAACAACATTCAAACCAGTTCAGACCTTTCAAACCAAGCAGCTCATCAACTAGACACGAGGAAACATTTACTACTGAACCGTGAGATACTCCAGCGCACAACATTGGCCTATCACTTACAGTTATAAACTCTACAGAATCAATGAGTTTTTGTTGTTGTTTTACCAACTTCTCAATTTACTACATGTTAACCTAAGTGCATAAGATAAGTAATACAATACTATAGCCTACTTGTGACTATACAGTCTCATTCATTTCTGTCCTAGAAGCCCAAGTTCATCACGGATGTCATTTCACTCTCTTCTTCTGTAATCATTTTCATTGAATCCTGAGCTCCGGGTAAAATGAGATGAGTCAGGAGAGGAGAAAATGAATCGAGCTCCACAAATCACAATAGCAGCAGGCAAACAAAGAATCAATGTTGGTGCAAGCAGCTGTTTAAACAGCTGTAAGCCTTAGCTGACTAGTTAACACGGCTAGGTACAGAAATATTAGCTTTTAGAAACTCACATTTGTTGTCATGATTCAGGAAACTGAAAATCTACTAACCCTGTGCCTGATGGGGGGAGGGAGCTGGAGTAGGGGACAGAAACCATGGCTGTGTTTGAAAGAGCCTCCTACTTACTGCTTGCATACTGATTGTGGCTCCAAAGTAGTGTGCAGTATGTGACCAACATGATTTTTTCCAGTAGGCCAAAGATACGCAGATGACGTACTGCTCTGACCAAACACTCCAGAGCTACCTCCATAATATACTGCACCCCAAAATGCAACACGGCTGTTTCAGGAGGACGTAACTACTGACATAAACACCTGGATAGCTCTGGATTCAGGCTTTCAATACATTAATAATTGCAAAATGAAAGACATTTGTCCAAATGCTTCCGCAGAGTTTTCTCGGCTGGTCTTGAGATGGGTTTGCTACTTAATTGTCTATTTAAGTAGGTTAACTTACTACAAAGACAACATGGTTAAAACATAATATAGTTGTTCTCGGCCAAAAAATGTGATCTGCATCAGCTTTTCAGACATTTGGGTGGAGTCTCACTGCCTATCATTCAGTCAAATAACTCATATTACCAAATATACAGACTTAAACAGGTTTACATCACAGACCAATTCAAAACTGACATTTTAAAGTTTATTTTTGGCTTTGAGGATGGGTTGAAAACAGCATCCTGTCTTGGCTGACTGACTTGGTACAGGGTGTGTTTTAAGTCACACAGGCTCAACTCTTGAACAAAGGCTGGTCACGCCTCTTCCCTGCAGTACAGCACATGGCTTGTGTCATACACTGGATACTGTACAGTATAAATGAAGAGTAGCATTCAGTATACAGTATATACTGATCGCATATGTAGTATCCAGTACACAGTATGCAATTTCAAGCATCTTCTGTTCCTGATCCAGTGAACTCACTTGTTTTAAGGTGTGTCGTTCGGCACAATCACGTGCTGCTGTTTTGATTGGCTGTTGAGGTGCTCGCAACTGCTGTGACTTAGTTTTAAATGAGTTGAAGGAAGCAACTGCTATTTAATTTTAACTAAATCTGCATAAAAGCTACACTGTGTAAAGCCAGCCTATAGGATTTGCTTACACAAACACAGACATAAAAAAAACTGCTATACCGGTGTTTCTTAATCCTGCACCCGACGACCCACAGCACTGCACGCTTTCAAGTACTCTTTGACTCAACACACCTGATTCACTCGATAATCAGTTGATGAGCTGGATCAGGTCTGTTGAGTCAAGGAATACTTGAAATTGTACAGTGCTTTGAGTCACCAGGATGTACCATAGGTGTGAATTTTGTTCAAAGTACTGATTTAAAGGTAGGTAAAGAGTGAGAGTGTAGAGAAACTCACAGTGAATCTGGACAGTACTGTGGTTGAGGCAGCCTCCGACCCCTTAACAGGTAATGAGTGACATCATATGGATCGACCTCAGGGTACGGACTCGCTCCACGAGTCAACAGCTCCCACATCAGAACCCCAAATGACCACTACAGAGAGACCAGAAAAGTGGTGATCAGATACTAGATACTTACAGAAGCAGTCGCTATAAAAATGTAATTTAAACAATTTAAGTAAATTTGATTTTGAGCCTCACCACATCAGATTTGGATGTGAACTTCTGTGTCTGCAGGCTTTCAATGGCCATCCACTTGACCGGCAGTTTGGCCTTCCTGTGGTCCTGAATGCTATAGTACTCTTTATCAAACACGTCTCGGGCCATCCCAAAGTCTGCCACCTTCACTGTGTATGATTCATCTAGCCTGCAGGTTAAAGAGCCACAATTACCAATCACTGCAAATGAGTGACCAGTTATAGTATCATAAAACACCATAAACCACTGAAATATGCATGATGTACATCAGCTAAGTTCTCTATTGACAAACTCACCCTGTGTCTCAGTTTGAGAAATGTGCACTACAGAGCTTGGGAATGGATCACGTCATGCTGCATCATGGGGTTGTTCCACCATATTGGCAGGATTGGCTCATTGTTTATATGCTGCAAATACTCACTTGCACTACAAGAGCTTAATGAAATTGCTGTTTTATTGTTTTTTCAGGCTTGTCTTTCATGTCTCATATTGAATCAAATGAAAAGGGAGCGCATCATAACCAACTCCAGAGGGATGTCAACCAACTACATAATGATAAAATCAGGCTTATTGAATTCTGACAGTGCAGTAATGATCTGAAATAGACATGCTAATATTATTTCCTCTTTTTCCTAGCTGGTGTGTGGCTTAATCGCCTGCTCCTTTATGTAGGTCAACATTTTTAAATCACATAAAGCCCATGTACAGTTTACAAATGGTTATTTTCCTCAGCCACCAGCAGATTTCACTCAGTTAGCTAACTGACTGATATCTTCTACTCAGCCACTGGCATATTTAACTTTATTCCCTCAGCCACCGCATATTTAACCAGAGAAGATTCATATGACCTTTGATCTAACTTACTGCTCCTTATGACGCTTACAGTTACACTGAAAAGGTAGTCAATCTAGAGTCTTTAAAAGAAACAGACATGTAAACGCTAACTTTGTTTGTAAACTTGTTTATCTGCACTCGCACTGCAATGCCTGCAAACTAGAGCTGCGTCTGAGTAGCTGATTAAACCTTCATTTACAATCTGTTTTCCTTGATTTTGCTCTGATCTGTGATCTGGTAATCACATAGGTCAACATGCAACACGCAAACGTATTTAGTGAGAGCATAAGCTACAGACCCGCCAAACTGGGAAAAAAAGGAAAGTCGGTAGAAAAGTTAGTGCTTTTCAGCCTGGACTTATGAACCCTGCCACAATGGCGGATCACCATGAAACACTGCTTTCCCAAGCCTTGTATTCTAACACCACCCATTTCATTTGTGAATACACTACTTGCACTAAAAGAAGCTTGTAGTCAATATTCAGACATCCTCAATTTGAGATGCAGCCTCAGATTAGAGTTGAACAACATATCAAAAGTAAAGTACTTTTTCAATACTGCAAAGTGTGAATCTCTAACTTTCAGTCGACACTGTACTTTGCTGACATGCCAAGTTGCCAAAAAGGGTTGTTTTGATCAATGATATAGTTCCATGAAGAACCTTTCAATGGCTGTTTAAAAAACAAATAAATAAAAAGAAGAAAGAAACCTCTACGCTAGTTTTTTTCAAGGGACCACGCGTCCAAGCCAAGAACCCTTTAGGAACTTTTTTTATAAGAGTAAAAATGCGCAGATTGTGAATTTGTTTGTGTACAGTTGATTAAACATGCGTGTTTTTAATTTTTTTTTCAGAGTATCGTTTGGTATTGAGCATTGTTTTACTGCACTTGGCATCAATATTGAAATCAAAATTCTGGCTTTGTGACAGCCCTGCTTCCAGCAGCTGTTCACCAGTCCCTGGTTATATTTTTAAGTAATAAAAATAAACATAAAGAATAATATATTGTGTGTTTTAGACTCACATGCAGTTGCGGGCAGCTAAGTCCCTGTGCACGAATTTCTTCATTGCCAAATATTCCATCCCCTTAGCAACCTGAAGTCCAAAGCCGATCAGGTCCTTCACAGTGGGGTTCTGGAGGAAGTCAGGACATCACCAAAATTCAAAACACCAAGCATACAACCAGATATCACTGTCCTCATACAAACGTCATAGACTGTAGATTCTGTTTTAGTCGGATTAAATATTATGGACTGAATTCTAATTGGTGCAGAACATTACAAACACACACTGGTCAAGTATCAGTCCCTGCATTATTATCCCAAATGCACTTAGTGCATTGTGCGCTTTGTGCACACAGAACCATTATTATTAACACAAAGATAACAAAAGAATGTTGTAATTTTATATGAATTGCTTCTTATTCACAGCTCATCAAAACAAGCGGTTAAACAAGCAATATTCTGTGAAATCTGCAGATTCTAAACTTTCAATCCATACCACATTTATGTTTGTAAGTATTTTATTACGATTTGAATACAATGGAATGTTATTGTTGTGTGCAGTCTTGTTTTCCATAAAGAAAAACTTTCACAGTTTTGCCATGTTACTGACAGTTTTTGACATTGAAACAAACAGATAAAAGTCAGATAAAGCCGTCAATACAGAATGTTAATCAAATATGATTCATTATGTAACTTACTGTGTAAATCAATATGTACTTATGTTACTACATTCAAATAAAAATGTAATGGAAACTGAATGTAGAGCAAAATAACAATAACTTGAGGCGTCTATGGTTTAACACTAATACAGTGCTAGAGCTCGTATAAGCCCGAAATATCAGTGATGGCACAGCCTGGACACTGACTCTGTTCTCACAGCGGATGAAGTGGCGCAGGTCTCCATGCTTCATGTACGGCAGAACCACCAGGGGGAGCCCTTCATCAGGTAGCAGGACGCCCAGCAGAGACAGAACGTTACTGTGGTGAAAACCCTTCATCAGAATACCCTCCTTTAAAAACTGCTCCACCTCCTCCACATCTGTTATTCCTGATGACACAAAGATACGTAGACAGACAGACAGTTGAGTAGTTAGAAAAATAGTGTGAGGCTTTTCATACAGAACACACTAGAGTAAGAGTACGGCAGTGGAAACACACTTCTTCAGTTAAACTAGCTATCGATAAACATGTATTGTGTTAGTTGTTGGTCAGTTTACAGTGTCTGTAACAGAGAGCAGTAACGTACTGTTAAGAGATTTCACAGCACAGTGGATCTCCCTGTTGTTGTGGTCAGTGAGATAACCGTGATAAACTGTACCAAAGTGACCTGCAGAGAAAATCACAGGTTAGTAGCTGCTTATTTTATACATCTTTTTAATGAGTCTGGCCAAAACACAATACAGTGCTGGGTGTTTTACATGTCTTTAGGGAAAACAGCCTGAATTTAGGCATGAAATGAGATGATAAAACCCTATATTTTATAGAAAAGAAAAGGTTAGCAGAGCATACTTCAAAAAGTTAGCAGAAGTAGTGGTTATGCTACTGCTAGTACTACTGCTTCTTCTACTGCTTACAACAAAAACAGCAGTAATAAATACAACAACAACAACAACAACAATAATAATAATAATAATAATAATATGTACATGCACTTCAAGTACAGTTCAAACTGTAAGTGCCTTGGCAGGCCGTTACCTTTGCCAATGATCTGATGATGCTGGATGTTGAGCATGGCCGCTGGGATCAGCACGTCCTTCACCTCCTCCAGGAGCTCCGGGCGGAAGCTGGTAATGGAGATTTTCTCAGGAGGCATGAGTGGCGTTAGGCTTGGGTCCAGCGTGCTGGCATAGGCCAGGCCAGGAAATGCCACCGCCCCAGGGGCCACAGGGGTCGTACTGAGTGGTATTTCACCTGTGCCAAAGCAAGTACATGAAACTGTGATGTAACATCTTTGTAAAGTAACTATCTCATTATTTATGTATTTATATTTTAATAGTACATCAAAATAATCAAGATCTAAACTTAAGGGTTAAGTGACATATGTTAACTGTTAATATTCTCCTCAAAATTTCTCAGAGATTAAAATGAAGAATACAGGATCAGTTCTTTATTATTTTTATATTAATTATGCTACTAATATCAGTTTTATATAATATCTCTAACATAACACTGTTGTGATGCTTCACCTCGCCTGTAGTCTCCGATAGGCAGGAGCTCCACGCTGCCATTCCCTGTGTGATTGTGATTGTGGGAATAGTGGGACAGCCGGCTCTCAGCCAGAGAATCTGTGGATTATTATACAAGATGACTTTATTTTAATCTTTTCCCACGCGTTTAGGGGCTTGTAAAATCTTCAGCGGACAGGGACGTCTCTGCATTACTCAACACATCCAAGGTGCTTATTTACTATGTTTTCCTGAGCCAGAATTCCTTGTGCACAGTGACTTTTTGCTTTAAGGTTTTATACAATCACCGTTTGCCATTTGCAGTCCTTTACGATAAGAGTTACTAATGCAGCTGCATTCAAACGATCAACAATATATAATTAAAAGAATAATATCAATGATATATCAACATTTAATGTACTGTATTGGTGAAAAATTCAGGTATTGCCCAGATCTTGTTTTTGTCTTAAGGTTTGTATTAACTTATACTCTAACATGTGCTAAACGAAGTGTGGCATTTATTTAAATAACGTTCACATTAATAAAATATATTACACATCAACACAACTGTGTCTTCTATTTTATGTCTCTTTGGCAATAAAGTGTTGTAACATATGTAACATATTGTCTCTGTCAAGAAATAAACCTTCCATCTCCATTTCTGTCATTGTTTACTTTTTGGCATTATTTAAAAACTAGTTAAAACTTTGACTGTGTTAAAATTTCATGGTTAATTAACCAACAAAAATGGTCAAAAATTATTTTAAAAGTTTCCATTTCAGAGATTTTGTTTTGCTCAGACAGAAACAATATATCTTCAATATATCTTATCACATCTGAATGAACTAAATTCACAGCACTTTTGTCAAAAAACGTTCGCTGCTGAAATCAGTGACCCAGGCATCTTCCTCACCTGTCTTCTTCTTCTTCAGGTGTTTCATGGTGATGAAGGCCAGCACTGCTCCGACAACCAGAGCCGTAAGAATGCCGAGTACGACAGCCACCATGTAGTGGTTACTGACTAACCTAACGGTGCCCACGTTGTGGACGTGGCCGTTAACTGTGATCTGATAGAGAAAGAGACCGTTATTAGACTTACTAATAGACATGCAGATTCACACAGCGCACAAAAGTGTGGATAATTATCTAATAAGATGAAATATATTGGGTCGGCATTGATGGGAATCTCAGCAATAAGTCACAGATAAAGCCTCCTTGAAGGTGGTGTTGTTTTCCACAACAACCAATCACAAACTTATACTAATTAGGACTGCGAGTTTTAGCTGTTCAAATTTAAAAACTGACAACAGCCAGTTTAGCACTGTTTATCTAAAACTGTCAGGGTTCCAGGGTAGGGATTAAGCCCAGTCCTAGACTAGGATTTGGTATCTGACACTTTATTTTGAGTGGTGCTTTTAGATTAAACAAACACTCAACAGACTATCAGTAACATGTTAAAAATATATGAGGGTTAGGATTAGGTTTTGGGTTGAGGTTAAGGTGAGGGTTAGGATTAGGGTCAGGGTTAAGGTTAGGATTAGGTTTTGGGTTGAGGTTAGGATTAGGCCCAGGGTGAGGGTTAGGATTAGGTTTTGGGTTGAGGTTAAGGTTAAGGTTAGGATTAGGTCCAGGGTGAGGGTTAGGATTAGGTTTTGGGTTGAGGTTAAGGTTAAGGTTAGGATTAGGTCCAGGGTGAGGGTTAGGATTAGGTTTTGGGTAAGGTTAGGTTTTGCGTAATGGAAGTAACATATTAACAATACGTCTACTTAATGTTAGTAATGTATCAATAGAACATCTACAAGATATTTACTTCAGTGTATTCAGATGCTTCACTACTGCTACTTAACTGACATGTTAATTTTCCTTTCAGTGGAGAATTTCCATCCAGAATGCTGTGTAGTCCAGTACTAGACTTAATTCCTGTCTGGAAGACTGAGCCCTGGAATCCAAAACTATTGTAGCCATAACTAAAACTACTAGAGTCATTAAATTCTATCAGCTGATATGATCAATTGCTAAATTTTTAGCTCCTTAAAATCAGTACAGGTGATACACATTTCACATTTATGGCATTTGGCAGACGCTCTTATCCAGAGCGACTTACAGTGTGATCTTTTACACAGGTAGGCGAAGGTAGTGTTAGGAGTCTTGCCCAAGGACTCTTATTGGTATAGTGTAGAGTGTTTACCAAGGTGGGGTTTGAACCCCAGTCTACAGTGTAGAAGGCAGAGGTGTTACCCACTACACTATACCAACCACCTTTCCAACCAACCATACATTTTCATATCGGCTGTGTCCTAGTTTGTATAAACCTCGGGTAGTCTCAATATTCCTCTCCTGATAACCTGAAGCTGATGTAAATTCAGTGGAACTCATTTAAATCCTATTGGAAACCCCGTTCCTAGCACAGGAGCCTGACCTTCACAGGTAAGCCCTCATTTGGGATTGTGAGGTTTTTTGGGATTCGGCAAGTGATCTCGTTATCCAGAACCTTCGCCCCACAGTCGACTCCTCCGACCGTCATGGTGATCTTCATGCAGGAGTTCACCAGGTTTAGCTTCTGGTGCTGTTAATCAACAATACAGTAAGAAAAAAAAACATGACATGTCAGTGAATTAAAAACCTTCACAGTTGCTGATCACTTAACAGTCATTACGTCTCTACTTACTGATTATTGATTTTTATGGGCCTGAAATCCAGTCAAAGCACTTTTGAACAACGTTGCGTATAAGGAAGCTCAAATACATTAACGAGTGTCATTTTTGTGCATGTTGTTACTCTTTGAGCTTGATTCACAGTTCATGTGACACACTTTGGTTTAATGGAGAGCACAAGCACCATCTTTAACAGTGGAAGTGCAGACTCACATGTAAAGAGACTTCATCAAAGCCAGGGTACAGTTGGAGGATGTGTCCTTCGGTCTCAAAGGGAATTGGCCTGCCGTAGGGATGGTAGGAGAAGTCCTGCTTCCACAGGCCCAGAGCTCCATCCATGTCAAACGACAGCTCCCCCTCCTCTGTCTCGTCTCTGTGGAAGACTGGGGTCACACACTCCATACGGGTCGGCTTGGCCTTTCCCCGGCACTCCTGAGGAGGGGAAAAAGAGCAAATGAGCCATGCATTGTTATATTACCAGATAAAATGTGCAATAAGCACTTTTATTAAACAGCAACAAAATTTAATACGATAAAATACGTATAGCAATGTATAACAAATAATCAAACCGGGGAGTTCCATTTTATAACAAAGCCTCCCAGGTTCCTAGTGGTCTGTAAACTTAAAAGGCCTCTTCTTACCTTTTCTTTAATTATTTCTGATAAAGTAGTTGCTCAGTGATTAACTTTAGTACTAGTTTTATAACTACCAAAGAAGGGCCATACAAGCCAGACCAAAGGAAAATTCCAGGAGCTGAGAAACTGAGATTGAAATTTATTACAAAAAGAGTTATAAAAAGGACAGGAGAACCTTACAGTGGAAACAGGTTTCAGGTGGCTTTCTTTGGGTTTAAAGTGGATGATGGTTCTGTAGACAGAGTCCAGGTTCTTCCCTTCAATGGTGATTATGGACCCGCTACAGATCAGAGACAGAAAAGTGGGACATAAACAGCAGAAGTAAAGAGTTCTGTGGGATGCGTTTCCAGACAAAGATGAATTCTGGTCTCAAATTAAATCATGTTGTCAACAAAGATTTCCCTTTATTTATAAATTCCCAAAACACTGTGTAAACTGTGTGGAAATGTAATCCTCTATCTGCAGCTCTAGAACCATTTGTTGTCTCAGATTTTTCTGAGCATTCAAATGGTGTGCATGCTCAGACTAAGTGGTCTAAAAGTCCGGTACCACTAGTCAAAGTTGTTCAATTTTGCCTCCTTTTCTAACTTAATGCAAAACATTTCCTTACAAATAATATTATTAGTATAACAATTTGAGTGAAGCAGCATCTTTGAAATATACACAGGAATTTCAGGAAACTCTCTGTATTTTGTATGTCCCCCCTTTAGCTTTAGCAATGGCTGCAAGCTGAAGCTGAGTAAGTCAAATGCACCTGAAACTGTGCTTCCATGGAGGTGACGTACAAAGTCCTTTAGATATCGAAGTCACAAATTTACTTACATTTGAATAGTGACTTTGAAATCTTGAATCTTTCTTTGTTTCATTTTACTATTCTTGGTTTTAAATTTGTAAAAATCTTTTGTTCTTGTAAACTTCCTGTTTATTTCCAGGTTTAAATGAAAAAAAAATGTGATTTTCAGTGTGATCTGTGTATCTGTTTTAGGTTCATATTAAAGGTTGTGGATTTAAACTCGACACAAATCAAAATGACGAATCTCTAAATCTCTAAACATACTGGATCTTGGTACAGGTACTAGGTACTGTATTTAAAGGGATCCCAAAATATTACAGTGGCTGATATAGACATGTATTCATGTTTGTGACATCACAACAACAATTAATTCAAAATGGGCTGTTTTTGTGAAATTAAAAAAAATGTGTACTACATTAAACATTTTTATTAAAAAAATACAAGAAAAACTCTTATGATTCAGGATTTAATATAACACCTCAAAAGAGTCGTACCTGTCGAAGCTGCAGTCGGGCAGGACAGAGAGGATTTCCGGAGTTTCCTTATAGCGAAACACTCTGGTGGTGACAACGCGGGACTTATCGATATAGACCTGCAGCACCACGTCCTTCACCTCAGTGACCGGCCGGGACAAACATACGATGGAGGACAAGTTCCCCCGAATTACTGACACGCTGCCGGTGAGAGGACAGAATACGCTCACATACATAAGCAGGTGCAGGAGAAATATGATGGTAAATATGGGATAATATAGATTCAAATCTCACAACAATTTGATTACGACTGCAATTATAATTTGCATCATAAAATCTCAAATTTTACCATGATTTGACATTCATACATTATTTTGGTATCATTTGCTACAATTATTTTTACACAGTGATCAAAAGAAGAACTTGCATATTAGTGGAATACAGATAATAAAAACAACAATACTCCACTTTTTGTTTTAAATATTTGTTAATTTACTTTAGCCAAAAATGAACTCATACTTATTGAATATGATGTTTTCATGCACTGTAACATTCTAATATCAATATTGTTTCAGATTGATCATAATATGTTTATGCATTTTATAAAATGAACAAAATGAACACACAAAAACACCCACTGTTGGATTGGACAGCCTTCTCCATCCAGAGTGACCTTGCGGTTCCTCCCTGAATGCAGGTAGGGTCCAGTGATGGTGATCCGAGTTCCTCCGTTCACTGGCCCGTAATCTGGCTGCACCTCAGTGATGTTTGGCAGCTGAGAAACACACAAACAAAGCAAAATGGAAACACAAAACTCGAAATTCTGTTAACAGTGCAGTGATCACGTTAAATCGCAATATTGGTCATAAAATCACAATCAGATTTTCCCCAAACCTTTCAGCCCTACTCGTGGTGTTACAGTAGATAAATAACTGTGACATAAATTACCACAAAAGTGAATCCAGGCATCTCAGCTTTTCCATCAATGGAGTACGGGCCCTCTACTCGACCCTCATGAACCCTCGCTGTGAGGTTAACCGGTCGAAACAGCGGCTCAGATGCTGCAGAGCGGATCTTACATGTCAGCCTAGAGGTGGGCGATAATGCAAAAATCTAATATCACAATATTTCAAGAAATTTTCATGATACACGATATTTCACAATATTTATTTTTTCAGACATCAGATCAGTTGGAACAGAGAAAAAAAGAGCCCATAGTGCTACAATAAAAAAATACTATCAAAACTTGTGAATGATTTTTATTCAATGTCTGGCATATTGTGTTGCACCAGTTCCACTTAAACGGGACTAGTTTTGCTCTCTTTTGTACTGAGTTGTTTTGTTTATTTCACAGAAGTGTTATGAACGCGACAAGAATCGGTTTAATGTAACTGTCTAATGTAACATTGAAGACTCCATATATGGAAACAAATCTGCGAAAATGCAGCCAGCGTACTGCATAATAATCAAACAGTAAATAACTGAACTCCTCCTGTGGTTCTTACAGTGTACTGTTGCTCTTGACCGGCTGGACCACGCAAGCCGTCTCTCCGAGCTTCACCTCGTGGGTCCTGGTGGTGATGGCCGGCCTCTGGGGGGACTGGAACTCCCAACCACATAGAGTCAGCTCCGTCTGACCATCAAAGGGCGCTGTCGTTGGGAAGAACTATGTACAACACACATAAACAGTCAAACATAATGTGCATCTTCAAAGTAGTCTTTTCAGTTCTGAAGTTGGAGTTGCTGGTTAATGAAGGATGTTAGCACCCATTAAAATAATGTGCATGCTATTCACTGCTTATACATGTTTTACTATTACCCAGTGGTGGACAGTAACAGAGTAAATGTAATTCGTTACTGTACTTAAGTAGTTTTTTTGTGTATCTGCACTTTACTGAAGTTTTTCCATTTTGGGCAACTTTTTACTTTCACTCCACTACATTTCAAAGTCAAATACCTCACTTTTTACTCCACTACATTATGCGAAATCTGTCGTTCCTTTTGGTTTATGTGTGTATAAAAACATAACGTCAAAACGGAAGAAGCGTGAGGGAAGAACACCAATCAGGGAACAGCGCGCACTTTGTTTTGAGCTTATTTAGACCTGTTGGTCATACCGACCCAGTGCAAGTATACGGTTCAACATCAGCGCAGCAGTAAAATTTTGGGAGAGTCTATTTCAACATAAATGATGGAACTAACCTAACTTTGTGTAAATAGACCACAATATAGAAATATGTACACATATGCAGTTGTGACTGACGTGTCTTTTTTCTGAATTTATACAAACACTATTTCATTTTATAGTAAATTTGTTTTTGCTAGTTTATGTTTATGAACAGAGACCTACAGACGCAATATAGCAAAGGAAAACTCATTTGTGAGTTTAAAGCAAGTTTTTATTAAACTTAAACTTGTAACCAAGTTGCAAATAAATCTAAAACCGAAACTTTGCTTGTTTGCAAAAAGTTATTTCACAGCCTCTGGTTCTACCTAATTTGCCTTCAAATGTACTTAAGTATTGAAAGTAAAAGTACTAAAAGATTAATTATGGCTCTAATGTCCTATTACCATTTTTGTAACAAGACTCTGCTTCATTAACTCATTTTAGGTGAAAATACAGTGTCACTCTTGTAAACTAATCTTTTAATAGAATGTCATTAATTAGTCTGACGCTGATGTGTATTAATTAACTAATTATCATAAGCACAAAACGCTGATTACTTCAAAGTACATCTTAGGATAAAATTACATACTGTTTAATATTCATATAACCATTATAGTCACAAAAGGTTTGGTCACCAGCCCTTCACACTTCTCTCAGTTTTACACTTCTTTAATCCAAACACTGAGTTTCATGATAGCAAAATAAATAAATGTAATTATTTAATATAATAAAATGGTTTTATTTTCATATTTACTTTAATAAAACACATATTTGGAGAAATGCATTTACATCTCTCAAGCCGGAATGAGCAATTTTATTTAGTGTGCTCAGGTCAGGAAAATCTACAATTAACTGTTAATTTTGGCTAAAATATGTTAATAATTCCACAGTTATATCATGGATTACATACATACTGAATAAATGTTTTATGAAGGCACTTACCAAGGATGTGCAACATTTAGGAAAGTGTAATGAAGTCTTCATGTAGACTGTAACTGTTATGAAGCCTTCATTTAGATGGTAACACTTCAGATATCAAATAGTTAATACTACCTATATAATCTGATTATGAATGTTTCTGTTTACTTCTGACTGGTCACAGACTGTTCCTTTGATTTTATTATATGCTGCTCTTATAAAAGTCAGACATTAAGGTAAGCAGCAATAAAAGAGCAGCAGTAAAACTTTGCTGCAGATCCTGCAGCTGCTGATTCAAATCCAAACTAAACAGTGCAGCGTCTGGTGTGTGTATGTAGGTCAAGCACACCTGTGTGATGACCGGTGGGCAGGACTCTTTGGCCCAGTGTGCCGCACACTCGGATTTACGGCTGCAGCGACCGGAACACCAGCCGCAGGCCATGAACGAGGGCGCGGTCAAACAGGCAGCGCATGTGAGGAAGTGACGGCACCCTGGACCCCTCTGAGGCACCTGAATCATCTGCCAATCAGAGAAACGTGTTGCAACAGGTCAAACAGTGATTAATGGGTTCAGCACTCTGCATAGCTGACTAAAAGCTGACTTAATGTTGTATCATTTCCATATAAAGAAATAAAAAGCACAGTCATCAGACAGAAGTCTGCATCAGATGCTCAAATAAGCAGACATGTCTTACAAAGTGCCCATTTTTTACAGATAACATTATGACATATAGTACCGTAATATACTGTATGTCTGATTTCGTAATTCTACTATTGGCGCAACTGCAATGATGTCATGGTGTTTGAGATTTGGTGGCTATTCTAATAAAGTACCTTGTCCCCCACTACAAAGAGGAGGTGGTCTGGGGGAAGAACAGCGGCGGTGGCAGAAACCCTCTGGTTCTCCACTAGAGAGTAGTTAGCAAAGATGATCGGACTGGATCTCCGCAAGACGAGCTTAAACAAATGCAGAAACACAAAGAAACAGAACCAATCAAAAGTTTTAGCACTTGCTACTTTTTTATAATCTCATTTCACATTTAAAGTACCTGAAAACACTGTAACAAAACATGAAAGCATATAGGAATATTTTGAACTTTGATTGCTCAGTCAAAATCCTGCCTTTTTGGTCTAAAACACCAGCTTCAGAAACATAAGGCATTCATTTAACGAGTTCCAGCGGGAAACCACCCAACGTGTCTTCCAGCTCTTTTGCAATGGTTCCCAGAGACGCAGGCCATTGTGGGTGGCTTGGCTTTGACTCATCTGTCCAGTTTGTCCCAATCTACGGGAATGGAGACTGGGCAGGTCAGATCGTGTGCCAGATAATTCTTGCACAACTTTCTTTTAGGTCATTATTTTTGTTTTAAGATATTATCTTTATCTATAACAAAGGGGTCCTAGCAGTCATTATTCCAGTTAGGCCATTTCTGGAGATCTTCTCTGGGCAGCTAATGGTGAATAATTTGTAGCATGTAACTGTACTTAATTGCAGGGGCAGTTAACTGCCAGTTTTACAGAATGGCTGTGAAAACCTTAGATTAACCTCTCCTCTGGTACTGAAGTCACCACTGGCCGGCCTGACCTTGTCCGGACCTCAGGAGTGCCCATTTTGGCAAACTGTTTGAATGTCTTGGCCAGATTAGTAACAGTCACCTTCATTTCCTAAAGCAGTTGATTATTTGTTGAGTAGTAGTAGGTAAATTATCTTTTTTTCTTAGTTTAACGAAGCACATTTTTCCATTTTCTGCTATCTCACATTTAGGAGTGACAACTTTGACACTTCTCGACAATAACTGCTGACAAAAGACTACTTACGTAGCATGAGAGAAAACTCAGTACATAAGCATTAACACTGTCTTACACAAGTTCCAGACCCTTTAACGTCAGGGAAAACTGAATTTTACTGAATCATACCCTTCACTTCTCCATACTGTCCATATATGGGAACTAAGCTGTTTTTGTGATTTCACACCAACCATCATATTTACATACATCCGCCTGTTCAGCCAACAGCAGTTTAGCTCATCCAGCTCACGCAGAAGTTATAAGAAGTGTTTCAACCTGGACTGCTTTTTAAATGGGGTACAATACATGGCAGCCAATCAGAAGAGAGCTCATTTACATATACTAGTCTTATAGGCGCAGTAACAAAAACAGATTGTTTAATTCTAAGGCTCATAAAATAGTTGGGAAACGGTCAGGTAAAAATTAATTATGTATTCTTATATATTTTATGTATTTCTGGTCAAACATGTACTGGATATAGGCAACAGACAACAAACAATAATATGCTCTTTTATTTAAATTGAGAATTGTTTTTCTAGCACATTCTTGAATGCACCACCAACGCTGCTACAGTGGTAACACTGTGCCACAAATTCTTCCTCTAGAAAACTAATCGCATCTCTGAAAGAACAACATATACAGATTTACAGCTTCATTTACAAATTACTTTAACTGAACAATTCATGAAAGTGCAAAAACATGCTTTGAGTAAATATTTAACTGATGGAAACAACTGCCCACTGCCCAGGAACGATTGGTACCTCATGTTCTAATCTTCAAAATATGGCATGTTCCAGAATGGTCAAGACTGTGGGTTCTAGAATAAATATCCCTACCTGCAGCAGTCTGCCGTCCGCTGTACCTATGTGAGCCAGCGTCTTGTTCTCAATCCTGGTGACCAACAGAGAGGTCAGCAGTGTGTCCCTCATTTGCCTGTTGAAGAGGTCCACTCTGTAATACGGCTGGGCCACCAGTGTGGGCTGGTCTCTACAGCTGGCATTGTGCTCCATGCTCTGCTTATACACACGGAAGAATGAAAGCGTACCGTAAGGAGCAAAAGTCACTGACTGGTCTTCACTGGTCAAAAATGTATTCATTTTTCAGTGCCAGGAAAAAAGCAGAAAACATATATTTAACAGATATATATATATATATATTTTCCAGTGTTCAATGCAGTGGTTCTCAAATGTTTTCTGTCATGCCCCCTTTTGAGGTAGAAATATTTTCATGCCCCCTGACCAAAAAAGTGGTGACAAAAATAGTGACAAAATGGTGACAAATGCAGATATTTGGCAAGAAAGATGAGCAAGTCGATCTATGAGAGCTCAAGTCTTATCACTGCGTAAGCGGCTGCTATGAGCATCTTCTGCACTGCACATCTTTTCAAAACGGGAAGCTTCCTCATATTTTCTTGACTTTGTTTTTGGCTGTTTACCATCACTTGTTTTGTTTGTCTCAGAAGCATCACCTGGTTTTCTTTTTGTCCCAGTCAAATATCTCTATATTCTGTAAAAACAGACTCTGTGTGTGAATGAACACCATTGACAAGGTGAAAGTACGTTTTTTTTACTGTTCTGCCATGAAAAAGATTCTCATGTCAAAGCACTAGTTCTGCACTACATTTTTCAGCTGGCCACGTGCCCCCTGGGAGGCTGAGAGGCGTGACGGGGGGCACGTGGCTTGGTGAAAAATGCAGTGACACACACTTTGAAAAAACACTGGTTTAATGAAATATCTGTCCCAATTTTTCCTATTTTTATTATAACTTTTACAATTTTTTTATGCTCCAGTCTTTTCTCTTATGCTCCTGAATAACTTGTACTTAATGGCTGTTTTGACTGGAAATCAAATAAATAAAGGGTTGTCTCTGACTTTTACTCAGGCCTGTATATTGACGACTGACTGATTCACTGATTCAAAATCATTCTTCCATTCATTCATTATCAATTTTGCATGCAGGAAACCTTCTTACAGTTAGAGCAGCACATAGTTAGGGATGCATGATGATATCAAAACCATATTGGCAGATATTTACTTGTAAAAAAAAATCAGATATTTCAAACCGATATTTAATCACATGTTTATTGTACATGAAGAGTTACTGTGCTAAAAGATCTGCATTTCATTTATTTTACTGCATTTCATAAATGTTTATCTACTGACAGCGGCTTTGGGAGATACATACATAAAAAATACTGGGTATCGGCTGGGAACCACAATTCCCACATTGGTGCATGCTTAAATTTACTGGTTAAATGTCTATTGTTTGTTTGTCTTTATGCTTATTTGCAAGTAAAACTCTTTATCAATGTTTTTATTTTTGAATGCTAATAAAAGACCAGATGGAGAGGAACAACAAACACTTCAGCTTATCACATTCCATAGCGGCCCTGTAGACTAAAGCATTTGATTTGTTACACTTCGGCTGTGTCCCAAAACCTAGTGAGCTCTCTAAGTAGCCGCTGTCTACCTAAGCAGCTGTCTAAGTAGGCAGCGTTCCAACCGTCATCTATCCTTATAAGACAGATAAATGAGACGCTCTAGTTAGACAGCAATGATGTCGCCGCTTCTTCCTGCCCACTGCATGAGACCAGCGTTTACTGACCTCAGCCGTCAGAATCACATTTAGCCAACATGGATCCTGCTCTGACGGTTTATACAGCGATTTTAATTGTATTTGCTCTGAATGAAACAGCAAAATAGACTATGGCTGTGGTCAAACGTGGAGATTAATAGAATTCAAGCAATACTTGCTGGCAATTTGTGCACCTTTACGACTAGAAAACAGATAAAATAGCACAGAAAATGAGGGATTGCCTCAGCGGCTGAGGAAGCATCCAATGCTCTCTTGATATTCGGCCAAAATGAGATACCTCAGTAGGCAGCATATTTGAGATATCTAAGAATTGGGACACAATATATGAATAAGCCAACACACACACACACATTTACGCAGGCACTAATAAATGAGCGTAAACAAACATGTAATCTTTACCGAAGGAAAACACTGTGTGCTCTAGAAAGCTCCATCTACAATATGTTCTGGAATGTTCTTGCCTCCAGGACAAATCAGTGTTCATCACATCAAAGAACTTACTTCCTGGTAGATAATGCTGGCAGAGCTGCACCAGAGATTCTCTAATATAACAGGATTTTGTATCAATCCTGATATTTATTTGAGTTTTTAGACAACAGAGTTTTTTCAGTGATCTTGTGATCACTGTTAATCAACAGTACTTAAATGATGTTGAAACATCTAGAAACTGAGAGCGCACCTCTACATATTTGTTCTGAAATGTTGTCGTTGTTGATATTGGCAAAGCTGTGTGCTGCTAAAGCTGTTCTGGTGCCACTGAAGTCTATTTTAAACTGATCTTCCCACCCCAATAAATCCATGAGCTCGCACCAGCTGTTCATTTTCACTGCAGTGTTTAATGAAAAAATGTAACTTCGAAAGTAGCCTTTATTTTATCTTCTATGATAATGCTAATAGCTTCATAGCACCAAGCTAATGACGCATTCACTGTGTTTCATATTACTTTTAGCTCTATCAGCTTTTCATAGCTGGAAAATAGGAAAAACGTAAAAACTGATCAACTATGTTGTTGGGTATAAACGTTAGCTCGTTCTCTGATCCTGTTTCCTGGCCGTAAATGGGAATAAGGGATACACTTTTACTGTAAAAAGTCTCAGAGTTGGGGATAGCTGCTCTGAGGTGATACCCAGTCACTGCAGCATAATCACACTGAAGCACAGCGGAGCTCAAAAACACGGCGGCATTTATACCGCAGCCTTTAATTTTTCATGTACTGAAATTAAACTTAACATAAAATAAGGAGAATGGGGGAGCCATGGGGTGGATAAAGCAGAAAGCAAAAGGTATTTTTCCCAACAGACTTTCTCTTTCATTCTCTCTCTCTCTCTCTCTCTCTCTCTCTCTCTCTGCAGTAACAAGAATGGGCATCTTAGCAATTCTAAAAGGCATGAAGACCCTAATTCCCCCAAAAACATTCGAGACTACAGTCTCAAACATAATATTTTGCCATTATTGACCATATTTTGGTTCAGCCTGTTCTGTTCTACATAAAACGAGTTGCTTCTATCACTGACTAGAAGTACAGCCAACATCCATGTTTACAAACATTTTGATTCGGTCTGTATGTTCACCAATTCTCTCTGCTATGTTCTAGGATGCTCAACACTACAATGTTCCAGAATACTTCTGCTGTATGTTTCAGAACGCTTTCCATTATATATGTGTATATATGTATATATATATCAATTCCGATATATCGTCATCATGTTAAACTTCAGCACAATACACTTTACTGAGCATATTGAGGATACAATCAATACTTAAAGTACATTAAATAAATGCACTGCTTCATTTGTTTTAAATGTTTCATTACAAAGAGAGTATATTTACATTTCATAAATGTCACTGTACTCACTATAACCATAATGTGGACTTACTGGTGTTTTTTTGTCTGTTCCAACTAATCAAACCTCAGAAAAAGTAAATATCACGGTATGTAGCCTGTCTTGTAAAAATAGACTCACTTCACTAGGCAGGAATTTTACTCAAGAATCTGTTTCCAGGCGTTTGAGGCCATTCAAAGCACCTCAGCCGAGTGAAGGAAACTGCACTGTCACTATCCCTTGTGGAAAATTACAGTGATGTCATCCAGCACACTGCAGAACAGTTCAGCAGGGAGGCGTATTTGGCAGGATGGTATGATTGCATGTCTGGTCAGGAAAAAACATCCCATGTGGTTCAGTGGCATGTTTGGTTCATGTGACCAGAAGACCCAGGCCTGAACTTACGATACACGTGGCTGCATGAACCTCATAAAAACAGATCTGAGCATTTGCAGAGGAATACATAGAGACTACTCTAAACTCTTTCATACATATATAAACAATCACAACAATTTTATCTTAAGAAAATTTGCCCCATCTCTTTATTTTATTTTTCTTTATTTTTACCCTTTATTCTCACTTCCAACCTGTTTTCTAGGTCAGGGGCTCTCAACCTTTTTCACCCCAATGCCCAACCTGTTTATAACTATAAAGCACAGCGGCCCACAGAAAATCTAAAATCAACATTTATTTTTAAAAAGATCAGATCGTCCATTTCACCTCAATCACAGAAACCACGAGCGAGCTAAAGAAAACTGTTTGATAGGTCTGCACCGAACAAGGTAGGAGAAACGCCGTGAGGAACCAATCAGTCTCTGGCTAACTGCGCTGCACATCAGCGGCCTCACTGTCACAGGTATCACATAATAGCTACTGGGGAGAGACATGTGAAGCCAAGTTTCTGCGTATTCCTGCATTTCTTCATAAGTATTGCAGTGCATCCAACAATAACGGCAGCATGGAGCATCTTTGTTTTTATAGTGATCCATTTTACTATGACCAATATGGACATGCATGTTCACCAACTTCTCTGTTGACAGATGTTAATCAGTTAAAGGAGGTGAGATGGTTCTATAGGGTTTATCATCTATGTCCCATTCAAACACTTTCAAAAATCACTAAAGTTTTTGTTGGCTGTTTGGCTTATTACCCACATAAATACAACGGATTAAGCAGACTGTGTCACATTCGGTGCAACAAAATGTACAAATATGCAAATGTGCGAACCTAAAGTGTCTGTTGGTTTGCTGTCATTAATAGACCCAACAAAAGCACCCAGCAGCCTGGCCACGAGCCAACAGACACTATTCCTGTAGAACCGCTCTGCATAATAATCACACTGTTTTTCCACAAACTCCTTCTTTCCACATGCTCAGAGAGTGTCTTGGCAATTTCACCCAGTTTACTTCTCAGTGCAAAACTGACCTCACAAACTCTGGACATTACTTTTCAAGGAAACTGAAACTTTCCAGCGCAAAGTGGTGGTGCTCTCAAGGGCATTAGACTTAAGTAGGGCTGTCACTATTAATTATATCAGTGTACTGCTCTTATCAGAACAAAACCTTGTATCTCCAAAATGATAACTTTACAGGAG